GTTTCCTCACGTTTCCCCCCATGCTGATGTTGCAGTACTTGCGAACAGCTCTCCGCTTGGCTGTTGTTGCCAAAGCTTTGTAACTCTCCAACATGTCCTTTCCTGGTCACCTCCTCTGCAGAGTCCCAGCCTACCTCCTCGCTCCCTGTAAGATGATCGTAAGATGATCTCCGTGAGCATTTCAGTTGCCCTTCCCTGTGCCCCCTCTAGCTCTGCTCTCTAGATCAAGGGTATATACCAACAAATGCTCACTTTAGCCCCAGTTGTGACGTGTAGATTAATTAAGCCAGTAGGTACTATTTTTCAAGTCCCTTTCATTTTTGCCGTGACTTCTCTTTGTTATTTACTTTTTAATCTTAACGAAAACCAATTTTTAACCTTTGCCTTCCAACACTTTAAGCTAAACCCAAACACTCTTGCCCCTGAAAAAGAAGCAGAGGACAAAGTAAACCGGGGAACTGTAATTAGTTATCAATTTTTCATGAAAGCTGATAAAAAGGCTCCGGAAGCCAGCACAAGCCCCTATGCCTACCATTGCATTCATGGTTTTGCAACCATTTCTTGGGAAAATCTTGCATCGGTAGCAGCCAGGCAATGGTGTCAATGGGAATTTCACCCGATCGCTGGCAGCATGATTGAGATTATATTGAATAAATATATGAACGGTATGAATAAATAAAATGTCAGGGGAATCCCTTCTTAAACGTTCAAACAATATTCGTTAACAGAGCCCAGCCATGGTGAACAGACGGCAGCGTTATGCTGTGCTAAGCTGCTGTATCTTGGAGCAGGCTTGAGGGGTGGACCATAATATCACACTTCCCGAGCATTTTCTGAGCAGCAGAGGAGTAAACAACACCTCTAATGCGAAATCAGAGGTAAAACGAATTAGGTGGTGATAACCCTTTAAAAAGAAAAGGTATTTTGTTAGTTTCTGTGCAAAGACCATTTGAGCGCTAAGCTTCATAATCAGCTTGGAAAATAGTTTAACCCGCAGGAATCTTTGTGACTTACTTCTGTCTTCCCCAATCTGCAAGGTCAACTATCAAAACAGATATTGTTTGAAAAGCTCTGAACGCCGAGTAATAAGCATAATTTACAAATTATTTTCCGCTTCTACAGGCAGTGCTCCTGCATCATTTTTAGGCCACGTTTAAAAATACGGCATAAAATAGTTAATTTAGACAAAAATGGGAAACTTGGAGGAAAAAGTAGGGGTGAGGACTTTTCAGATAATCCACTTACTGCATCTTTGTTGTGCCTATCCTCATAATACCCCTGAGTCCCAGTTGCTGGACTTAACCGCAACGCTTACTAATTTCCAGAGAAGCAGAAGCCGCACTCCGGCTTTCATTTTTAGTACTCCCAACATTAGTGCCCTGTTCGGATGGCTGTGAAGCCCTGTGGCAAAGCCTGCACCTCCTCAAGGGCAAAACCCTCACGGCTGCTCCTGCCTGAGGCTGGGGGAAAGGTAAAGAAAAGGAGAGAGAGAAATAAGAGAAAGAGAGCAAGACAAGAAAAGAGAAATAAGAAAGAGGAGAAAGGTCAGCGTTTTGGACCTAGGTCAGTGGAAACCCTCAACCCCTAAAGCACTGCTTGGCTTCAGTATTGCACCCCCACAATTACTCCCTCGCACCCAACAGGAAGGAAGAAAGTAGGCCAAAATGCCAATGAAATTGATGCCTGATGTAACCCAAGCACGGGATTTTCTGCTGAGGGTAAGACTCCAGGGAATCACAACCCAAACATCACGGATGAGCCTGGGAGGTGCACAAGCTCTCATCTTCCTGCTCTCCTGGCTCTTCTGGCACCACACTTTGTTCCGGAGCGTTGTGGCGTTTTGGGCTGCCATTCACCTCTACACAACTGAGATACAAGCTACCAGCAACTTGTTCTATTTTTTTTTTTTTTTCCTGACTTTGTCACCCCTCAGCAGGAAACCTCCCCAGTTTCCTGTCATCTCTTACTACTCACCCCATGAAGTTCTGCAGTACTCAGCCCAGGAGAGCTCCATTTCCCCAGCCTGCAGATTTCCACGCTACCGCCCTTCAGTGCTTCTCCCCTGCCTCCCCCATCCCATTGCTACCAGTCTTGCCCGATCCTTGTGCCCAGTCAGGAGTGGATCTATGGAAGTTTTTGTGGAAATCACACCAAAATGTTAGGAAGCATGCCAAGGAGAATATGATACATATATTTTCTCAACCCTGTTTGGAAGCAAATCAGACATCAGGGGACGCAAGTGTGTGGTAGTGCCAACCCGAGGGTGTTACACTCTTGTGGGGACAGAGGTTAAAACATGGGACCTTTCTGCTTTGTATGGTCATGTTAGATGTGTTGTACAGCTCAACTCCTCTATGGTCCTGGGCAACTGCTAGTTTTATTCCGATCAAAACCAACACGCAAATCTGAAGAAGACAGGTCCACTGTGGTCCCAGGGTGGGGCACTGGGCCGTCAGTTTGAATCTGGCTTCTCTGCCAGAAAGAAATAGAAGAGCAGCGATAAAAAATGCCAGCGAGAAGGGCAGAGGTGTTTCCAGGGAATTGGGTGCAGGCACTCACCTGTCCTAGTGGAACCAGCTGCAGGCACCTTCCCTCCTGCGGTGTATTTCTCTCCATGAGAGTCTTTTTTTGGTCCGTGGTTTTTCAGGTTGGTCTCACACAACTTTTGCTGACTGGAGCTAATTGAACGGACCATCTTACTGTACAAGACACACACAGAGGAAAAACATTTCTAAAATAGCTGGGCCGAACACAAAGGCTCCTGTGTGACACAGCCTGCAGAACGGACCAGGAGCAGAACGAAGGCAGGGACCTGCCCCGCCACCCAACACCGCCGGGCAGCCCGAGGTGGGTCCCAGTACACGTGCACTGCAGGTCCCGCTGCCTTTCCCACGCGTGTAGCTCCTCCAAAGCTACAGGTAGGTCCTTCCAAAGCTCTTACAAAGAGATTTTTTTTTTTTTTTTGTTTTAGCAATGCCCATTTCAATTAAATATGCCTTGTAAACCTGTTATCTTATCTCTTTCCCACCTACACACACTAAGAGCCTTCTTCCTTTATTTTTCTAATGACCCAGATATGCTAGACTTACACAATGCCACACTGTATTTTGCTGGAAACTAAGATACCTATAAAACTGGCAAATCACTGGGAATCCATCACCTTCTTATCAGACTTGTTTGGCAACGGTGTGAGCTGGAGAATGTCCCAGCGGTGCGTTGCATTGCTATTGTTGTAGAAAAAGTTAGTCAAAACTTAGCACTAGCAGCTTAAACATTAATAACTAGAGCAGACAAAACCTATAGATTGTGGCATATGAACTGTAACAACCGTATTACAACATGCCAAATAGGTAACTATAGAACTGGCTAAAATTGACCTAAGAGGATGTGAAACAGGATATAGAACCACTGTGTAGGGTATGAGAAGATGACCGCTTAGCAACAACCGAGTAATGAAACAGCAAGCAAACCAATAAAAAGGAAGAAGACCCTAGACCTTAATATTGCTATTGGTCTGAACTGTTGCGTGAGGGGTGGGGAACTTAGATTGCAAGGGTTGACTTGCCTGGGGATTTCTTTGTTTGGAGGCACCCAGCTTGAGCTGTAGCACTACTAATAAGAAGGACTTTACCGAAGAATCTCTTTTCGACTTACTGATTCAGTGGAAACCTGAAGTCGAACCCTGTTACGGTGACCCGGGGGGACTCTAGGCAACCACTGTTGGACATCGGACCCTCTCGTCTCCAAATGTCCAGCTGCCAGCGCTGGGTGAGCTCACCCAGGAACTTTGGGGATGGGAGGCGCCGCCCGGTGAGTATTAAAATTCCACTACCCGATTCTGGGTGTTCTGGGCTTGAGTGGGTGCAAGTCCCAGCTCGGAAGCACGCTAGGAGAGGTGTGCACAGCCTGACCAGCGTAAGGTGCACGAATTTGTCATACGGGTATGGGGAACATACCCAGCACAGAGAAGGGGATGCCCCCAGCTGAGGCACTAGGACATTGGAGGAAAATAGACGGCACTGCAAGCCTATTAAAAAAAAAAAAAAAAAAAGCAATAATATTGTGCCAGGAGGACTGACTGGTGATGACTGGATTGGGGCTGCGGAGGGGGTGGCCCTGTGAAGGATCCTTTGACCAAAGGGAATTAGCTTTTCTATGACATATTCTGGAAGATGAAAAATCTTATCCTTCATCTGGAAGATTAAAAAACTATTTTTGGTATGTATGGGACAATTGGGCGTATGACTGCCATAAAGAAGGAGGTTGGAAAAGTTCAGAGAACCTGGGTTATGACTCCAGTTGCAGCAGTTGTAAGTGATCCAACAGATACGCTTGTGGAACCTGCTCCACACTATGCACCTCCCTCTCTGCTTTCTTCTAACCCACCTTCTGCCACTGCTCCTGCCACTCCACCAGCTACTGCTTCTGCTCATGTTCTTCCAAATCCAGCTGGGATGGAGCCTGTAGCGGGGAGAGCTAATGCTCCTCCTCCAGTATTGCGTTTATTTACTAATTAACCCTGGAATCCAGGAGATCTAGCTGTGTAGGGAAGTAAAATGCCAAGATTGAGGGAAGATATGAATTGGTGTGCCCAGTTATTTCCAACATTTGTACTGGATATAATCCATCATGAGGGGGATACTCAAATATTATTGAAGGAGTTATTTCAACCCGATGAAGGGATAAAATAATTGAAAAGGATGCAGAATTGTTGCAACAGGCTGGGGCAAATATGAATCCTTGGCTGGAAAATTATCCAAATTGGGATTATAATAATGCAGGAGACAGAGCCAACTGTCAAGACAGTGATTCGGGATGTAGTGAAAGCTATTAGAGCTTGTGGAGAATTGTAAGTGAACCAGACAAAAGTAGGCAGAGGCTAGATGAACACCTTAGAGACTTCTGGGGACAATTATGGTGAGCTTTATTAAAATATGGAGGAATGACCACACAGAACTTTAACAATGAGCTAGCGGCAAGTGTATTTATTGATCAAGTTGCCCCAGACAGATGGGAATATTTTAAAGAACATGTGCCTGGGTGGCAAGCGGAGACATTACAAAAGATCTTAAGTGTGGTGGTGTTTATGTTCAGTGGACGGAAGGAAAAACACAGAGCAGAACTTGCAAAGGAAAAAAACCAGGAAAAGCAACAAGAAGCTAGTCTTTCTGTGACAGCACTGGCACACGGTTTACAACCAAGAGGGTGAGGGAAGGGATTTTTCCCTTGAAGAGAACAAAAAAGGGGAAGAGGTAGGTCAGACCAGAGATTTGGAAGAGGAATGAGAAAACCTGGAAATAACTGGGCGGAAAAGTGTCATTACTGTGGGAAACCTGATTGGTGGCAAAGAGAATGCCTGCTTCATCTGAGGGGGCCTCCAAGGGAACTGGACATGGGAGGTGTGAGACAGGAATCATGAAGTCATCTGCAATGGCTGGAGGCAGTGGACTCAGAAGATTCTGTGGAAATTGGAGTCTGTGGGATGTAGCAAACTCGGCTGAATCATAAGGAACATAATCGGGAAAACAGGAGAGGAAGTTGAATTTTCAGTTGACACGGGAGCAACATTATCACTTAAATTTTGTACTAAAGGGATCTATATCAGAGGACAAACTATTAATTCAAGGGCTAATGGGAAAAGGAGAACATGTTTTAAGTAAACCACTACTATTAACAATCGGAAATAAAGAGGTGTGGGGAAGATTTGTAACAGCAGAAGGGGCCCCAGCTTGTTTATTAGGAAGAGATCTCCTCCAAACCCTGGATGTACAATTACATCTATCACCCAGGGGTACTGATTCTACAATCACAGGGGTATGCGTAATATCTGAAGTCCAGTGTCCCGACCCTAGAGATACCAAAACCCCTGGAAGCAGTGCCCGGGGAATTGTGGAGTAAATCGGGAGCTGGCGTGGGGCTGCTGCGATCGGCCCAGCCGATAGATGTGAAATCCGAGGGAGGCGCGCCCTCTGCTGTAAAGCAGCACCCCGTCCCCGGGAAGCAGAGAAAAGTATTCAAAACCAAATAGATCAGTAGCTTACCCGAGGAATCTTGAAAGCGTGTGAATCCCCGTATAATACCCCAATGTTACCAGTAAGACAAAACCAGATTGGCTTAAAGACGAGGAGCCTGAGCTTCGATCGGTTCAAAATTCTAGAGCAATGAACCCGTATGTTATCGTCCCACACCCCATAGTTCCAGACCCCTCTACTGCACGCTTGCAAATACCACACTGGGCTCAGTGTTCTCCTGGGTCAGATTTGACCACAGCATTCTTCAGTATTCCCGTAGATGAAGAAACCCAACCTTTGCTTGCTTTCACCTGGGACAACAGTTGACAAGGACTGGCCTTCCACAGGGGTTTACTGGCTCTCCCACCATATTTCTGTGGATATTAAAAGAAGATTTAAAGGATATTGAGTTACCCAGCAGATCAGTTTTAGTGCAATATGTAGATGATTTACTAATAGCTAGTAGAAATTGTAATGATTGTTTAAAATATACTATACACTTAGGTACTGCCTTAGCAACCAAGGGACATTGCGCATTTCCATCCGAGCTCCAGCTGTGTCAGAGGGAAGTAAAATATCAGGGCTTCATTTTAAAGGAAGGACAGCTGGTAATAGATCCAGAAAGAGTAAAAGCTATAACTGAAATTCCTCAGCCAGTTAGGAGAAAACAGCTAGGAGGGTTTTTAGGTGCTGTTGGGTTTTGCCAACGGTGGATACCAGGATTAAGGGAACTGACTAAACCTCTGACGGAGGCAACAAAAAATGAAGAAATAGAACACATTACATGGGGGGACAGAATGGGAAAAATGCCTTCAGAGCTATAAAAGGAGCCTACACAAAACCTTTTGATCTGTATGTATATGAATGAAAAGGGGTGGTTAGTGGAGTGTTAACACAGAAATCGGGACCTTACCAAAGACCTGTGCCATATTATTCTGTTCCACTGGATCTGGGGGCAGCTGGAGCTCCAACATGCATTAGATCCATGGCAGTGACAGCTACAGTAGTGGGAAAAAGCCAGTCTTTAGTATTAGGGCACCCAATTATGATCTGTGTGCCACATGAAGTGGAATTACTTCTCAAGCAGTATGCGACCCAAGCCTGGTCTCCCCAACGTGCACATAAATATGAACTTACTCTTTTAAATACGGATAATGTGACTCTAAATTGCTGTAATACATTGAACCTGGCAACACTACTACCAATACCCGAAGGAGGGGAAGAGCATCACCGATGTGACACGGTAATCCAGACTATTAGTAGGCCACGAGCAGATCTCACAGATCTCCCCTTACAAAACCCAGATCTTGTTTTATTCACAGATGGACAGTCCTACTATTTACACAGGCGATGAAAGACTGGTTATGCAACTACCAAGGAGAGACTAGCTAAAATCTGCACACATACAGGCTTAAAGTGGTCAGAAGCATTAAATTGAGCCTTATGGGACATCTGGAATGCCCCAATGCAACCCTCAGTGCTATCCCCTGCCAAAGTTCTTTTTGGGAGACATTTAGTTCTACCAGGATCTTCCATCCTGGCCAAAACCAGCCTTTTGAATGGAGATGAGTGTTTAACACACTATTTACAAGAAAGTTTCAAAATTATCTCTGGAGGGGTGGGTTGGTACCACTGAGCATGCTCCCTTTTACAGGTACACAATTTGCAGCCTGGGGATAAAGTTTTAATAAAAGTATTTTTCCATAAATCTAAACTGGAACCCAGGTGGGAGGGGTGACATACTGTCTTGTTAAGCTCTTACTTTGCTATAAAGGTTCCAGGTAAGGAAGTCTGGATCCACCACTCACATGTTAAACTGCTACCTGAGGATCATTTAGTAGATGAACAGTGACTGGAGACTGAAACCATTTGAATTTCCTAAGGACAAAGGAGTTCCAAATTAATGTTATTTTTATTTCTTTTCCAGAGCTATTTGGACATGGGTCTCCCCAGACGCCTGGTTAAGTGGATCATCTGAGTGTTAATAAGGGTCTTTACCCCTCTTGGTATATATAGAAGAGATTATGGAGACTTTATGGGTAAAGTTACTAACATTTGCTGTGCTTATTATGCAGGTAAAGGGAATATCTAAGTTTGTACAGCCCCATTATGAGTGGAGAGAAAACCTCTAGTTTAACTTGTCACAAACCATAGTCCAAACTACTAAGAGAACTAACTGCTGCATATGTACCCACCTCCCAAGTCACTCAGCTTCAAGAATTGCCCTGTTAGGGATCCCTATACCAAATAACTACTTTCCATTGAGACCATACTGATTCACAAAAATGGGATCTGTTAATCCCAGGAAGCAAAGAGCAAATATCCAACATGTGTAAAACGTCAGGCTCTCCCCAGTCGACTTAAGCTCCTAGACAATGGTATGACCCTTATGGGTAACTTTAACTATTGTAACCAATGAAAATAGGAATAGCGGGAATACTTGGGGACTTTTCCAATACACCTCGGCCTGTACCTGAGGGAACAGGATGGGTTTTGGATAATGTTGTAAGAGAGCTCGCGGAACATTACCGTGAGATTGCTCAGGAACTTGTACCTTGTACTCCTGATATTTCTGTATTCTCAAATTTGACTATGGAATCAGGACCATGATTACAAACATTTGCTCATAGGACCAAACGTAGCAATCCAGTAATAGAAAGGCCGACTGCATTCCACCCCTTCACTAGATGGCTTCTTCCCTGATCAGGAGGGAGCGAATTAGAAAAGGTTGGTTAACTTTTCAGCAGTAACAGAAATTCTTTGCAATAATACTGCTGATGCAATTATGGCATTACAAGAAGAGGTTTCACAACTCTACAAAATTACACTGCAAAATAGAATGGCATTAGATACTTTGTTAGCTTCACAAGGGGGAGTGCGTATCTTTATTAATACCAGTTGTTACATGAACATTGACCAGAGCGGAAGGATTTCAGCTGATGTCCAGAAGTTGTGGCAACAAGTTAAATTAACGCATAAAGTACAACTGGACAGTATTTCAGCAGGATTCCAAGAAGTATGGTCTTGGCTCACCTCCTGGGCACCAGATTTAGGAGCTTGGGCAAAATGAATTCTTTATGGGTTATTAATTTTTATAATGATCTTTGTAATACTGTTTGTATTAGGTGTTGTAACATTTGCTGTACTCAGCTGTGCTCATACCTTAGAGGCTACAAATATTCCGCTCCTGTATGATAACAGGAATGTTAGTAAAAACAAAGGGAGGACTGTTGTAGAAAAAGTTAGTAGAAACTTAGCACACTAGCAGCTTAAACATTAACAGCTAGAGTAGACGAAGCCTATAGATTGTGGTATATGAACTCTATCAACGGCATTACAGCATGCCAAATAGGTAACTATAGAATGGGCCAAAATTGACCTAAGAGGATGTGAAACAGGATAGAGGACCACTGTATAGTGTATGAGAAGATGACCGCTTAGCAACAACCGAGTAACAAACCAGCAAGCAAATCAAACCAATAAAAAGCAAGAAGACTCCAGACCTTAATATTGTTATTGGTCTGAACTGTTGCGTGAGGGATGGGGAACTTAGATTGTAAGGGAAATATTGCCCAGGGATTTATTTGTTCGGGGTCCCTCTTTGGAGGCACCCAGCTTGAGCTGCAGTGCTATTAATAAAGGACTTTATAGAAGAATCTCTTTTTGACTTATTGATTCAGTGGAAACCTGGAGCCGAACCCTGTTGTGGTGGCTGGCACGTGTATTTTCCATACCATCTTCTGCCAGCCAGTCACTGCCTCTGGAAATGCCTGCTCTGCAGACTCCATCGGCTGCGGGAGGGCAGTCCACCGCCTCACACAAGATCAGCAAGGTCATGGTACCTGGGACACAAGTTCCTACGGCTGTAGGCGTATCTGCTAGATTGTAATTTCCATTTCAGTCATAGAATCTTCCATTCCGTTTGGAAACTAATCTGTTATAGCTGAAATGTTCTAAATTTCACCATTCCTATCCGCTAAACCAGCCTGACTGTCATCTTTGGCACCTCACCGGGTCTGTCATTTTTTCTTCCACAGAGATTATGGGACCTTTTCAAAGCACTCCTTCTCCTGCCAGTAATTTGGGCCTCTGGCTCATGTGGTTAGGAATTAAGGTAGGATTGAACTCAGTAGGCTGCATTTCTCTAACGTTCCCTCAATAAAAGCCTGAAGGCACACGCTTGGTAGAGGCAGTCAGCAGCTGTCAATCTCCCATGAGATCAGAAACGTCGCCAGGGGACGTGCAAGAGATGCTGGTGACTGTGAAACCACCGTGCAAATGACCACGCGCGTAACGCCGAGCCACCTGAACGTGGTGCAGGGTGCTGAAGGGAAGCCAGGCATACGGCAGAAGTGTGCTGTGAGATGCCCACGGCAGCCCCCACGGCCACAGAAATCCATTTTTGCAGACCTTGCCCATGTGGAAGGGCCCAATATGACAGCTAGTAGCATGACAGTGCTGTGTCACGAAAAAAGAGTGCTTTTCTGAGTTGACGACACAATAGGTGCTTAAAGTATTTTGAGAGCATTTTGGGAACAACAAATTCCTCTAGTTTAGAAATAGCTATCTACTGAGGAGTTCCCATAAAGCTATCTTCACCTCAAATGGACCTAGCCGGCCCTGAAATCCAAGCAGATGCTTGTTTGTTTGTTTGTTTGTTTGTTTTCCCGGGTGAACTTCCAGACAGACCATGAGTGGAAGAAGCAAGATTGTTTCTCCCTTTCCGCTGGGAAGCAAAGGATCACCATCACTGTTTATGGGGAAATCACATACATAAGGAACAGCAGTCAAACCAACCATTGGGGTCTGTGCTGGAATGGCCTCTGCTCACTGGGGTCTGTGCTGGAATGGCCTCTGCTCACTGGGGTCTGTGCTGGAACGGCCTATGCGATCACTGGGCATCCCACCTCCTGACCGGGGAGCCCTGCACTACCAGAGCTGGACAGCAGGAATTGTTTTTCTCAGGTCCTCCTTTCCAGTGGCTCCTGGCTAATAGGTGGAACAGGCTGGCAGGGGGAAAGCAGAGACAGGGTGAGGCCAAGAGCAGCCCCCTAGGATTCCCTCACTATGTTAGTTAATGCTGCAGGCAGCCCCCTCACAAGCCAACAACCCCCTCACACACCAACAACCCCTTCACACACCAAAAGGGCAAAAGGGCGATGTTGCCAACAGAAAATCCATAGCTGGGTTCCAAAGCAATGGCATTAAGAAGCGATCTTATTATCTGCGACACAAGTGATGCTTGCTTTCCTCCTGATCTGGCTCCTGTGATCAGCTGAATGCATTGACCAGAGATTTTCTACGGGGTACTTACTCACACCGTCTCCCGGGTGGATTTTACAGTGTCTGGTAAGATCTTAGCTCACCCATTGCTGGTCCTTCGAGCTGGTGCACCCACAAGCCTTCCTCATCTAACAGGTTGCTTTCACAAAACCTGTTGGAACTTGATCGCCTTTGAGAGCTCTGCCTCTTTATCTGACTGAAGCAACAGGCTCAGCAGATGAACACAGTTGCATTTCCTCTGCTTTCAAAGCTGGGCTAACATGCAGGTTTTTATCTGCCTTGCATTTTTTTCACTGTACAGCTTTCCACTGCCTCACTGTGAAACATTAAGGACTAGAAACCCACAGAGGAAGATGAGTTTCATGCATTCAGGTATCTCCCAGAACAGCTACTGCAAGAGCTGTCGTCACTGCAGTGTGTGTTCAGTACTCAAAGGCAGTGTATAAAGCAAAAGACATTGAAGGAGATATCTTAAACTTTGCCTGTGAACTCTACAAGGCTCAAACTGGGAATGATTACAGAGTATCAATGGCAAAAATATTTAAAAAACCCCCACTTTTTAATTAACACAAAATCCTTTCACAGAAAATTTAAAGAGATTTCTTCCATCTAGGGATTACTATATCATGGCACCAGGACATTTGGTGCCACTCACTGGTTATTACCTTTCTCTTATGAAGTTTCTCTCCACTTCCCACGTGTCTTCCTTAATGTTGGGACAGCACTTCTTCCCCACCAAGGCATGCCTAACGCCTCCCTTGCATGTGCTGCCATCACAACTTCCGTGTCACACTCTGAACTTACAAGTACAGAAACCATGAGGTAACTTATGAGATCACGTTGAGGAGTGGCTGTACGCTTGACTGTGAAGCTGTAGAGATGGGCACGTTCTCAGGAATGGCCATGACCACCACCCGCCTTCCCTACTTCTGAGGTAACTCGTCATTGACGGCGTGATGAGTGCCGGCACAGTACCCGCCTTTTGAATTCGCACCTTTTGGAGTCACATCCCCTTGTGGACTGCGGTCATTCCTGCAACTGAATTCGGAATTAGACACATTTGAAGTGTTTGACCTCGCACGGCCGCTCAGGGCCCACCCTCCAAACCCTGAGTACCTTGTACGTCTGAACCACTCCCCCTCATCCAAGTTCTCATACATCTTGAGAACCCCTGTGCCCGTTGGTCCCTTATTCACCCCCTGAACGTTGCTCCCCGCCTTCCGCCCTCACCACCTTCCCCTCACGCGTGGGGGGACGTCCCTTTCGCGCGGGGGTGAGGGCAGGGAACACGCTGCCCCGGGGCAGGGCCGCCGTTCTGCGGGGGAAGGTGCCGCGGCCCGGGGATGGGGGGCTGGGGGGGGGTCAGCACCCCGCTCCCTGCCCCGCCAGCGCTTTCGGCCACCCGCCCGCCCGCCCGCGGGAGCCGGGCGGGGTCACGGCGCCCCCCGGGACCGGGACGGGGACAGGGACAGGGACGGGACCTGCCCCCCCCCCCCTTCCCCTCAGCGGTCCTCGCGGCGGAACGCGAAGGGCGGGACTTTCGGCGAGCCAATCAGCGGCCGGGTGGTGGTGGTGGGCGGGGGGGACGCGCGCGCGCGCCGCCGCCCGTGACGCCACAATGTCTATGGTGGCTGCGTAGTGACACGTCTCCTTCCGCGGCGGCGCCCGGGAAGGGGGCGGCGGCGGCGGCGGGGTGGGGAGGGGAGGGGAGGGGGGAAGGGAAGGGGAGCGCCCGTTCTCGCGGGATCCCGGAGCGGCTGGCTCGGCCCCGCGCGAGCCCGGGACGGCGAGGCCGGGGCCGCCGGCGGCGGGGGCAGCAGCGGCGCTTGAGCGGCCATGGCGGGGCAGCAGTTCCAGTACGACGACAGCGGCAACACGTTCTTCTACTTCCTCACGAGCTTCGTGGGGCTCATCGTCATCCCCGCCACCTACTACCTGTGGCCGCGGGACCAGCACGCCGGTAAGCGGCCCTGCCTCGGGGCCCGGGCCCGGCCTGCGCCGCCGCGGCCGTCCCGTCCCGTCCCCCCCCGCAACCCGCGGGGGGGGCGGCGGCGGCGCGCCCCCCCCCTCCCCTCCCCCCCCCCCCCAGCGCGCCCCCGCGTCGCGGCAGAGCGGGGCCGGGCCTCCCGCAGCGGCGGGGAGCGCGGCGGAGCGAGACCCCGGGGGCTGCCGCTTCTGGAGGGCGCCCGGCCGCCGGTTCAGTCGCCGTCAGCCATTTGGCAGTCCCCGGGGGCAGGCGGCGAGCGGGAGGGTCCGAGACCGCCCCCCCCCGCCCCCCCATCCCCCCGAAAGAGCGCTCTGCTCCGCGCCCCTGCTCCTGCAGAGTCATTGCTGCGCTGGGGGCTCATGCTTTGTTTTGTTATGTTGTTTTGGTTTTTTTTTTTGGTTCGTTTGTGTGTTTTTTTTTTGTTTGTTTTGTTTTGTTTTTTTTTGTTTTGTTTTGTTTGTTTGTCTTTTTTCTTCCTGGGGTGTTTCAGGGCGGATGACCTAAATTTTCATCGTGGTTTTGAGTTGAGGCCAAAGTGGAAAAGTTACCAGGCTCTGCTTTTTACATGCCATAAAGTCACCAGCGAGCGTGAAAATGGGGCTTTAATTTTTTCCCATTGGAAGCCACGGTTGAACATCCGAAGCGCTAGAATCCTGTTCTGCCATTTGGGATGATGTTTTGTGGCCCCAAGCAATGTTAGGAAGTTTCTCTGAATACTTCTAAATTTCATTTCTGCAGTCATCTCCCTCTTTGTCTTTCCTGAATCCCTCTAGTCTTGGAAGGAGAAGGCATTTTGGTATACAGGCTGCATAGGAACACGTTTTTAACTGCAGTTTTGGGATGAAAAAGGCTATAGAAATTGTATTTAAGGGCAGGGTATTAAACACTCAGTAGAACAGGGATGCCTGATGCTGATTCCCATTGCTGAAGCTACTGACCTTTTAAGAATACTTGTACTTTGCAATCTGAGGAGAATCCCTTTCGTTCACTGCATCTTTTTACGTTCAATATCTGGTGTTTATTTAGTGGTTTTGTATGCCATTTTAAATGGCACGCGTGGTTCTGTTTAACTTAGTTTTATATGTAAAAGAAATATTTGACAATGAAATCTTACTCCTATACCTTCTAGTAAGGAGTAAGTAGAAAGAAAATGATAGATCAAATGCTGTTTTGGTGCTAAATCATAGCTGTTTACATTCTTGGTTGCTGACAAACATGTCTGCTGCTTCTGACAGGGCACTGGCTAGAGAACCTCTTTGGAGGATTATCTCTGCCTTCCAGATACTGTTGTACGGCTGAGGAGTTAGTTCTTTCTGTTGGAAAGAAAGGTTTCTCTGTCTTGTCTTTCTGAGTCCTGACTGTTGCAAGAGGGAGGCGTTACAGTTGTTGAAGACATTTTGTTATCTTTGGGTTGTTTTTAAGGAGTGGGGGAATCAGAGATTATTACTTTACTTCTGTGACCTTTCTCCAAAACTCAGGACTTTTGCTTTATTTTTGTTCTGGTGAAGGGTAGGAGGCAGTGGGGGAGAAAATCGCTCTTTCTCTTGAATACTGTTTTACTTCCCCTGTAGTTCTCGGTAGCGACTTCTTGGGAAAACTGATGTGACTTAATTGAGATGCTGTGCAGAATGGTATGACCAGTAGTGATACTCAGTGCTGTTAACTTCATTTTTAAGGGGCTGACAGAAGCAGGAAAAGCTGTAGAAATGCTGTCAAACTTGGAAACACTTTACTATCCTTGTATTTGTTCTTCAGATATCCTTATGGAATGGCAGAAAATTAAAACCTAACTTTGGAATATGGCTGTGTGGATTGTACCCTGTTTCCAGATAGGCCCACCATTAAACATTGCTCATTGCTTTCCCTCTAGCCAGCGTGGTTGAGTTTGTAGAGGACCTGCTTGCATATCGTTCTGGAATTAGTGCTAGATTCTTACAGAGCTGTATCAAACCACACTTGCTGAAACACAGGGTAAAATTTATCATGCTGTTGGTACAAAAATGAGTCAACTAAGTAAAAATCACTAGGCATGGCAATGAATGGAAATGAAGGAATGATTTCTGCCTCGTAATTGTCTTAATGGATTTTAAAATGTTGATTGTAGCACAGTCTCAACAGTGTGCTACAGTCTCCTGGTTGAGTTCTGTTCTGCAGGCTCCTTCTGAATAAAGAGTTGAGGTGGTGTGCAGATCCCATTCAGGGCTACTGGAGCGCTCCCGTGCTTCACTGTGAAGTTCTAGTTGTTTAAGTGTATGGCTCTTGTGTGACTCATTCCCAGCAGAATCCTCGGAATAGTCTTCACATAGCTCTGTGTGTATGCAACTGTACCTGTTCCAGAATTTGAACTGGGTTTCAGGAATAAATTAAAACCTTGTGATGATGCAAAGTACCAATTGTTTAGCCATGACTTCTTGTTTTTGGCATTGTCCACTCAAAACAACCAAAGAAGCCAAAGCACATGTATGATTTTGGAAGCTAGGAGAAGACCTGTGTCTTCAGAAGAGAAATTTTCCAGCACTGCCATCTTCTGATTCCTGTAGTGAGCAGGAATATCTACATTTTGATAAGAGTTGTTTATTTTGATACTAATTTAGAGCAGGTTTTCCAACCAGTGAGGCACAGTACAGGGCCAAACTGAGTAAGGTCTGCCAAGCCCTCTGCTCTCTGTGTAGGATCAGCTAACATTTTTGTTCTGGAATTGTGTTTTGTTCTACCTGTGCTAGCGAGTCCAGCGTAGAGACTCCTTTGTGGCCCTGGGTGGTTGGTGAGGTCCAGGTGGGCTAGTTAGCTGTTTCAGCCTCCTGGCAGTGAGAAGACTGGGTTGGAGTGAACTTTTGAAGCGAATCACCTGTCTGTTCTCCTCGCTTCAAGACCCTTTTGCAATGCGAACCAGAGCATCTGAAAGACACAGAGCAGATGTCTTTTTTTGGTAAAAACTAGGTTGGAAGATGAGCTTCAGCCACACTGTTTTGTTAGTGGACTAGAGCTAGTGTGAAGCAAGAATTAAAATGCTTACAGTGAGGAGGTCAAGCCTTTGGTGCCTGCTCTTGCTGTTATCTTCTACAAATGCACTGCCACGTGTTGCGGGTAGTTGATATGGTAGAGAGTGTGAGGTTTAGCACCAAAAATCTGGGTTAAAGACAAAAAAATCAATGCTTGTTTTTACCATAGTGAAGATTGAAAAATAAGAATATATCTGTACTGCCTTACTACTTTGAGAAAACTCAGTGTGTGTTACCTAATGTCACATTTCTAGCAGTATAGTTTTTTTTTGAAAGGCCTTTTCAATACTATAGTCTTGAAGAACAGCATGATTTAACTTTTCTCTCTCAAGTCCTGAGTAAAATTTCAGCTGCTTTTATTTCTCGGGTGTCTAAACCTGCTTTCTCCAGGAATCCCCAGAGTCCATATGAAGTGTTTGCTGCGGCCTGCAGCAGGGATCAATGTATTTATATTTGTGAGGGTTTTGCTGTGGTGTGGTAGTCACCCTGTGAACTGTCTTATAATTTCATTACCTGAGCTTTGATAAACCAAACAAACAGGTAATTGACTTTGTAAAACGGATTTGTCCCAATGACTTTATCTCCTTGGTGTTCATTGTAGAGCTAATAAGGCTGTTGTAAAAGGTTAATTGTTCAGCTTTGTGTCTTGGGCTGCAGTTTCTTAACTGCTTCAAGGTAGCAGTGCTCTAACAGAGCAAGTCTTGTATTTCTCCCCCTCCTTGTGCCAAATGGAGCCACGTGAGCAGTGTGAGGGACTAGGAGTTCATTTGAGCTAAAACTAATTTTTGGTGCTTTTTTGGTGTGTAACTTTTAACGTGTATTAGTTTCTGGGTAGGGTTAACTTTGTGGATGGCAGGGATGGTGCAGGATGTGACTGAGCTGGAGGGGAAGACCGGTTATTTCAGTGGTGGTGATGGTGAAACTGCCATGTTGTTTATCCTTGACTTGTATTTTTAAAACATATATGTATGTATGTGTGTTTTATTATTAAAAAAAAATAATACTTTTTGTGTATTGTGTTTTGGGTAGATATTGATATAACTAACATAATTACTGTGAGGAAAACTATTACAAGGACTGTTCTTGATTTGGAACAAAAAATACGGTTGCTGAAAAGTTTCTCTGGTGCAGATTAATTTCTTAACTAAAAAGTATTTTCTGAAATGAGAGTTTTTAAGTCTTTCAGAAAGTTAATTGTAAGAGTTGGAGAAAAGGTGGTTTTTTTTAGGGATGGGTAAGTGCTCATCAAAGTACCTTGGTGTTGTTGGACGTGCTTTGAACCAGTTTCACGGTAGGCTTGTGTGGATTAAACATCAGCATTTAGAAAGAAAAGGGAGAGCAAGAGGTGAGTGCGTTTAATTGGATATTACGCTAGTTGTTGCACAATGCTGATATATTTGCTGAAGTTTGTGTACTTCCTATACCCGTGCTGCTGATTTGAGACACGTAATCATAAAGCTGTGCTGAAACAAGTGGTCACAGAT